AAAATGTAGGGAAAACCTTGGGGAGGCTAGGGGGACAGACCGGAAAAACCAAAAACCCAAAACCATGAGTACAAAAAGGAAGCGCTGTTGTCTCTCCGTTAAGAGACGGGGACAACCCCCTACGTCTTGCCCCGAATGGCGCTTTAAAAAGATTAAAAATGTAAAGACACATTCCCCTCTCTTTCTCTCTCCCACAGTTCAAAAAAAAAATATAGAAGACGTGCGAAAAAATGGTGCCCAAAAAGATGGGGGAAGAAACTTTGGAAGAAAATCAGCGTAGGTGATTTTTAGTCCATAAAAAAAAAATTTAGAAAATATTTTTAAAAAGAAAAAAAGGTAAAAGTGTAAATTTTTTTAGGCCCGAAAAATTTTCAAGTTGTTTAAACTTTAGCTATTGTCAATAACCTAACACACACACACACACACACACCACACACACACACACACACCACACACACACAAACACACACACACACACCCAAAACCACAAAACACAACAAACACACAACACACACACAGACAAGAAGGGGGTTCAAGAGGACGGGTTTATATTTTTTTCACATATGGCTCGGGAAAAAAAAAAAAAATAGGCTGCGGGCTCGCTGGGGCATATTTGATAAGGGGAAGACTATTCAACTTTCTGAGAGTAAGAATCATGGAAGAAGTAGCAGAAGAAAGAGATAAAAACTTTGCTGCGAGAGACCAAAGGTTCAAGATTACAAGTTGGGTCAGGTTCACTGGTGAGACGAATGGCTGTCTTATAAATTACATCAAGAATCCTCCTGTTGCCGAGTCCGCCATCGGTGGCTACCACTGTGGGGCTACCTACTACCCCACTTCGACGTCTGTCTTTAGCCAACAGCATCTTGACACACCCTACCAGAGCCGGTCCCTTTCATCGGGTCATTTTTTATTAAAGATCCGTCTCATCTGAGTCTTCCGAGAGGAGAAAACCAGCAGACAACTGGGACCATACGCTACCTCCAGCACGGGTAACCCATGAAAACCAGCAGACAACTGGGACCATACGCTACCTCCAGCACGGGTAACCCATGAAAACCAGCAGACAACTGGGACCATACACTACCTCCAGCACGGGTAACCCATGAAAACCAGCAGACAACTGGGACCATACGCTACCTCCAGCACGGGTAACCCATGAAAACCAGCAACAACTGGACCATACGCTACCTCCACACGGGTAACCCATGAAAACCAGCAGACAACTGGACCATACGCTACCTCCAGCACGGGTAACCCATGAAAACCAGCAGACAACTTGGACCATACGCTACCTCCAGCACGGGTAACCCATGAAAACCAAGCAGACAACTGGGACCATACGCTACCTCCAGCACGGGTAACCCATGAAAACCAGCAGACAACTGGGACCATACGCTACCTCCAGCACGGTAACCCATGAAAACCAGCAGACAACTGGGACCATACGCTACCTCCAGCACGGGTAACCCATGAAAACCAGCAGACAACTGGGACCATACGCTACCTCCAGCACGGGTAACCCATGAAAACCAGCAGACAACTGGGACCATACACTACCTCCAGCACGGGTAACCCATGAAACCAGCAGACAAATGGGACCATACGCTACCTCCAGCACGGGTAACCCATGAAAACCAGCAGACAACTGGGACCATACGCTACCTCCAGCACGGGTAACCCATGAAAACCAGCAGACAACTGGGACCATACGCTACCTCCAGCACGGGTAATCCATGAAAACCAACAGTTACATCTGTGTCAGGTATCCCTAACACACATTACTGGGCATCCGCCAAAACACCAGTACCACATAACGGGTCAACTCATAACACAGACATTGTATCAGGTGTTTGTCTGTAGCGAAAAGATCAACAGTTGTTAGAAGGGAAGGTTGGATAAATGTTAGAGGAGCAACAACCATAATGGCAATTTATTTTATGCGCTGACTCACGTACTGCAGGACTCGACAGACAGTAAATGTTTCATTAAACTAACCCGAATGAATTAAAAGTTTTAATTCATAACTACGCCTTCGTGCACAGGATTTTCAAATATGAGATTTAGTGGGCTAATTAGCGAGCAAATTCTGCAAATATTTTATGCAAGGTGAAATATATATATATATATATATATATATATATATATATATAATATATATATATTATATATATATATTGCATACAATTGCAAACGGGCGATCTTAACTGTGCAGGACAAGCCACGGGGGCGAAGGGGAAACCTTTTTAAACCAAGTACTTTCACATTTCTGGGTCGTCTCGGGAGAAGGGTGGAAGATTAGAAAGTAGTCTGGGTAATCGTCCCTCACCATTTATCGGGTGATCACCCCATCAATTTTGTTTAAGAACCGGGCGGGGGGATGATTGTCTCAACCTCCCCTAGTCTTACCATTCTTTTCTCAAAGGACTGATGAACCACTGGTAACCTGGCCGGTGACACATACCCCTACGCTACTCAAAAAAAATTCTCTTCCTGCTTTAGTGGCTCTTTTGCAACATTGCTGTTTGAAAAACGTACTGAGAAGCAAATATGGAGCAAAAGATTTCCACCCCTCCCCCTGGCGCTTTTGGGGCCTTTTTTTTATTAATGTGGGCCCGAAAGGCGAACTTGCCATCTTGGCTTAAATAACACCCCCATTTTTCCCCATATAGGGCAAAAGAAAAATTTTTTTTATGAATATTTTGCCAAAAAACATTCGAACCTAACAAAAAAAAAATTTTTTCACTGGCTTGTTTAGTATTTAATTTTGTAAAAAAGATCTAAAAAATATCTTTGGGGTTAGGTAAAATAAAATTTTTTTTTGTTATAATAAGGTTTTGTAAGTTTTCAAAATTCTTTTTTGGGCAAAATTAAAAAATTTTTTTTCTTACATTATGAAAAAAAAATTATCTCTAAAAAGTTAAGGAAAATTTTAGAAAGGCCCTTAATTTTAAGATTCTTGCTAATTTTGCAGTTTTTAAAATTCGGCCGAATTAATAAATTTATATTTATAAATTTTTAAAATTTTTTATATATATTATATATATATTTCGTGCCCAATAGGCAATTTGCGTTTGGGGTTTTAAAAAGCAACGTATCTTGCCAAATAGGCAAGGAAAATTTGTGTATGCAAAAAATTTCCCCCAAATCATTAATTTTAACGAGAAAAATAACGATTGTTTTTGTTAAATACTAAATTATTGTAAAATATTTAAAATTTTTTTAGTTGGGATGGCTAAAAAAAAATTGCTCTTGTTAAATAAAGGTTAGGGAAATTTTTTAAGATTCTTTTGGTGCAAAATTAAAAATTTTTTACATTAAAATTTAAAGAAAAAAAAAAATACTTTTAAAGTATAAAGAAAATTTCAAAAAGGGCTTTAAATTTTTAAAAGAGTTCTTGTAATTGACCGTTTTCATATTCGGCACGAACTTTTTATAATTTTATATTTTATATAAAAATAAAATATATATATATTTATAAAATATTATAATTTAAAATATAATATAATTATATATATAAACAACACAACCCCACAAGTCTGTGTTTTGTGTTGTAGCTGTGGCTGGCGCTAAACTAGTGAAAATTTATTTCCAGTGTGGTACAAGGCTGGAGATTTTCGAGGGGGGGCTGACTACGATGAGACCAGTCTTGGAATGACTTACAAAAAAAAAAAAAAAAAAACAAATTTTTAAAACTTTTGGGGGGC